GAGACCACAGATAAACTCAGTCACTCCTTTGAAAATCAATCACCAACCCCTTTGATCATGTGTACTCAAATGAAATTACATGAAATTACGTTTTCATACAATAAGCAACATCAGATGAAAGAATACAGAATTCTGAAAATAGTTGCTAAAAAAAATTATATTATTAAAAAATATATATTTCAAAAGTAAAAAGCGGTCCCACTTTATATTAAGTGGCCTTAACTACTATGTACTTACATCAGAAAATAAGTACAATGTACTTATTGTGTTCATATTGTATTGCAAAACACTTTTGCAGCTATTGAGGTGGGATATGGGTAAGGTTAGGGACAGGTTTGTAGGTATGGGTAGGTTTAAGGGAGGGTTAAGGTGTAAGGGATGGCTCAACGGTGTAATTATAAATGTAATTACAGAAATTAATTACAGATGTAATTACATGCAGGTATTTTTAAAATATAAGTACAATGTAAAAACATGTATGTACACAATAATTGCAGTGTACCAAATGATTAATTTAAATGTAAGTACATAGTAGTTAAGGCCACTTAATATAAAGTGGGACCTAAAAAGCTTATTGCAATTCCCTGCCAGATTTTTGACAACAAAGTTTGTGCATGCACTACATAAAAAAGTAAATAAAATAAAGCACAATGTAATATTAATTTTTTGTATTTTTCACAGGTGTCTTTTCTCATATTTTGAATTATGCATTGTTGTCTTGTAGGTTGAATGTAAAAGTCAACCGTTATATTACATTACACACACCGGGCGGGGTTTCCCAAATTGGTCTTAATGTAAGAACTGTAGTGGGTTTGTGAGAGATAAAAAGCGAATAATTCATTAAATCATGTAATCCATAAAAAAGTAACCGTCATCTGATTATGAGCATTTTAAAATGTAATTTACTCTAATTACGAGTACTTAATTTTTGGAATCTGATTACGTAATCCAGATTACATGCAATCAATTACTCAGCACTACTTCTAAATTCAATATGGGTCAATGCCATCAAATGCACACATATATTGAACACAGAAGCCATTTTGCTTTTCTGGTGCTGCTATATGTAGGCAACTAACAGGAAAGTCCAGAACTCCTTCTTTACAATTAATATTAAGGAGCTGACATATCATGGGGGGGGAATATAAAAACAGTTACTTGTGATTTAGGCATATATGTCACCAAATAAATTAATGATGAATTAAACAAATTAGATCATAAACTTCATAAAAAGCCAGTAAGGCCTTGTTGAACTCATAACAGGTGATATGGATAGAGGTCTTTCAGGATTAAGATTTGCTTTGGTGTTGTTTAATAAATTATTTCTTAAATACCTGACAGTGTTCACAAAACTATTCCTGCATGGCAGTTTTTATTATAGTTCATTTTAAAAGGTGTAAGCTGCGTTTCCGTGTTTGTCGCTCTCCTCGCTGTAAACTGTTTTTGGCTGGAAGGCTCGAGCAGGAGAGTCTCTAAATTCACTACGGCAAGGGTGTGAAATATTGTGCTCAGACTGTATATAGTATATATATAATTTAAATGGTCATTTTTGTGCATTATTATCACTAAACAGGTGTGGGGGTTTTCTTGGCAAAACTGCGGTAAACAAGATGATCCTGCACAGATGAAGAGTCTCAGTATTTCTCCAGATCCCATTTCCATCCCGGGACAGTTGACCGCAGCGGCATCGGGCTCCACATCAGTAGCGCTGACATCTCCTCTCTCTGTAAGATAGAGAAATATATCATCATTGACAACTTCCTCTTCTTGGTTTTTAAAAAGTCACGTTGTTTTGGATAAGAATAAAATGTCAGGTCTGACAATACCGTGTCTTTTTTAATTTAAATCTAGATTTATTCACACTGGCCCATGGAAACCTCTGTGAACACACTTGGCTTGACTTGGACAACAAAAAAAAATCGCGGGGGACGAATTTACATTTTATTAAAAAGTGTCTTCGTATTCTACACTCATGGCGTGCGCACACATTAGGATAGGTTAGATGCCTGCCTCCGCTGCGAGTCCCTATCAAGCACTTTACAGATTCAACTACTCTCCTCTCCTCCTCCTGCCTGGCTCTTTGGCCAGCATCACTCACCGCAGAGCAAGCCTGTTCTTGATTTGGGTTGTTTTGACCCAGCTATTGGGTTGTTTTGACCCAGCGGTTTGTTTCAAAACAACCCAACCGCTGGGTCAAAACAACCCAATAGCTGGGTTTGTCCCTTTTTAACCCAGCGCTGGGTTATATTTAACCCAGCATTTTTTAGAGTGTACTATGTGAACATAAACACTGAACTTAAAGCAACTATTATGTGATTTGTACCTTTAAATATCAATTTAAAAACCATTCTGATTGTACAAAGACTTGTAAGAAGGTGAAAGGCCAAGCTCACAATTAAACTCACAATTTTAAGAATCTAAGTCAGAATTGTGAGATTAAAATTTGCAATTGCCTTTTTTATTGATTTATTGATTTATTTTCTATTCTGTGGCAGGAAACAGGCTTCCATAGCTATCCACTGAAATTATGACAGTGATGTATTTACAACAGTAAATTCCCCTCACTTAAGTATAGAGGGCTCCAAAGTCACAAAAATATGTAAAAACTACATACACTTGCTTTAAAGGGATAGTTCACCTAAAAATAAAATCCTGTCATCATTTACTCACCCTCATGTTTTTCCAAACCTGTATTAGTTTCTTTCTTTTGCTGAACATAAAAGAAGATATTTTGAAGAATGTTGGTAACCAAACAGTTGACGGTAGCCATTGACTTTGGTATGGATAAAATACTATGGAAGTCAATGGCTACCGTCAACTGTCAACATTCATCAAAATTTCTTCTTTTGTGTTAAACAGAAGATAGAACCTCATACAGGTTTGGAACAACATGAGGGTGAGTAAATAATGCTAGAATTTTTTTTTATTTTGGGGTGAACTTTCCCTTTAATGTACAAAAATATTCAACCAATTTGTTTCAATGTCCTTTTGCTCTTTTTTATTTTATTTATTTATTTATTTAATCCCCATAGTCACAAAATACAAACCAAAAATCATTATTTTCCAAAAATGGTTTCAAAACTACAGTCAGAATTCACGCAGGAAAGTGTGTCCTGACAAGTGGAAAGGAAAACAGGCTTGATTTATTGTTCTCCCTTCAAACCCTGACCTCATATGCGTGATAAGTTTGTTAACTTTGGCAAATCCTGTTAAACCCAAACATACTGTTTTATGCAATTGCTGTGTTTTTGTTCCTGTAGATAAGTGGAGACGGCTCACTTTATTATTGTCACCACTGAGCTGCCGAGACCCTGCAGCTGCCTGTCAATGGAAAGTTTGTCATCACGCACACTTCTCAGAAACAACTGCTCTATCGTTTTTATGGCATATTAGAGACCCTACTATAAATAGAGTTTCGACAAAAAGGAAAGTCTCAGATTACCCCGATGATCCAAAGTCGATGTATCATATTAACACTTAATATATACCAAACGAGAGCCAAGAGGCCAAAGATAGATGCATGTCTGACACTCTACTGTATGCACCACATAGAGCAGTGAATGTGATGAGCTCAGATGTGCCAGTTTATGTTTTGTCCTCTGAACATTTGACAATATTTTATGTTACAGTAGGCAGTGACAGAATGCTAGGAAGGTTTAAATATCCATTCTTCTCTCTTTCTAAATTTACACTTAGTGTTTAACTCATTTATTATTAAAATGACGCTGGTGATGAAATCATATCTGGCAGCCAGTATAAACCTTGTAATGTTTACATATTCAGCATGTGCATCCACATACCTCACCGCTGACTATGGATCACTGCTGTTTTGACAGTTTTTCTAAACAGAATTCCTCTACAGCAGCGGGATGATAATATGGCCACTTAAAATACAGTACAACTTACAATTCACTCTGCAGATCTGTGAGCCTCACATTTTTACTCCTCATTCAAACCTGCTGGATAATACGGCCATTTTAGTATCAGAATTCATTTTAATTTGAAGAGAGATGACTGATATTATGCTTAGGGAAAGAAACGTCTCCTAACTTTGCTCAGTGCAATGTTTTTCTAGCTAACATACGGTCTGTTTATCTTTCTGTAAGGCCTATATAGCCTATAATTAACCCTCAAACGTCAAAGTTTTTAAAACTTTCCTTTTTAACGTTAACATTATATGAGGTTTTGAACGAGACTAGATATTTAACTGTTACTAATTGTGATATTATGATGCACAGTGTCTGTTACTAACATGAGTTTGAACTACCACCTGACCTGTAACTATGGCCTCCTTATGGCATAAGCGTAAATTAAACATTGTCAACGAAAGTGGTTTAGCACCAAATACCCAGGAGATCCAGACACACACACACACAAATAAATAAATAATATCAAGTATATTATTATATTAAGTTATATTAATATAAATCTGGTAAGTATAATATTATATTAAGTATATTAATAAAGTACAAGTATATAAATAAAATTTTAAAAGTATATAAACATTTTTAA